GCTATCGAATGGTCAAATTCGAAACAAATAGTTGTTAGTGAATTTTCTAGAATCATTCCATGGATTTTGATACTAAGGTTTGCATACAGTACGTCGTGGTTATGTGTCGTACAACGCGACATTCAGTAATGGAAGTCAATGTTTATTGAAAATTAACTTATTAGAAGTTCGCTTTCATATGTAAATATGCATGTTTTTGATAATACTAGATAAGATGAATACGAAAAGAACTTTCTACAGCTTGATTATGTTAATTATGATAGTTTTGTTCAATTTACTATATTTATACAGAAACTCTATGACTTCTTATTTGGACATAGTCGGATAAGAATATCAGTGGCTCTAGAGAACCATTAATTTCTTTTGATTTATCAGGTAAAATTTTGTGACAAATAAAAAATGACAAAATTTTCAACAGTAAAATTCAATATTCTATTTTATTTGAAATTCGTTTTGTTTTATATTTTTAATACTTTCTACCTTAACAAATCTCTTTCATATAAACTAATTTTCATGATTAATAAATGTAGTTTCAATGAAGTATGAATGTACAAAAGTTTCGTTTCATTGTTTGTCAATGCTTATCAAATTTTCATAGATAGTTGCAATATGAATAAAAATGACAACTAACATAATACGATAGAGTAATCGATGCTCTATTTAACTATCAATGTGCAGCTTGGGTCGAGTCAATGAGTTTGATCCATGTCAGACACTATTAACTATATTAAATTAAGAAATAAACGAGGTTTTATGAAAAAATACAGCGAATTGAACATAGTCATCCAATATATATCGTAATCAAATAGTCTTATTAACTTTAACAGTTTTGTTTTGACATTATTGTTTTAGGACAATTTTTTATTATATTATTCGACTACTTCATTTACATTCTTCGTTGATTCATAAGTGATGCACTTCTCTGACTGATGACATCATAGAAAGAGTTTTGAACGTTTTCTTTTTTTTTTTATACATATCTTATAAAATGACTTCATTCACATTTCTGCAATGAATTTCTCGAATTGTATAAGAGAAGATAAATTTTATGTAGTTTTTAAGAGTTCTTTCAAAATCAGTTTTTTTTTGTCTACAGCTTTTTGAAAAAATTTAAGAAGAAATGCGAAAATTTTATATTTGATACAGTTTGATTCTTGATTCCAAATATCTAAATATGTATCTATTTCAAGTCTACTATCAACCTATGTCACGACCATATCCATTTTAGGTCATTTGATATAAGCTTATTTAATAATAAAATTCGCATACTGCATTGTACTTCATTGATACTCAAATCTTGAAGTATGATTAAGTATCGAAACTTTATTGCTAAATAAAATTATATCAAATGACCTTAAAGTAATATGTTCGTGACATACATTGATAGTAAATTTGACATAATTATGAAGTTACAGAGAATAGCTTTGGCATGTCATTGAAGTGTAGTGAAGTATTGAAATTTCATTTTTTCTTCTTTGTATTACTGTCAATTATTTTGAAGAGATCAATCTTGTTAGATGGACTATATAGAAAAATAAGAACTTTTCTAATCGGTTCGAACAACACAAAACATCAATTTATATTACAATTTGTTCTTGATAAAATAAATACCAGTTTTTTTTTCTTAGTATCATTATCTTTGCTATAGTAGATCTATACCTGAAATTATCAAGAGTTTGTTGATATAAAACATCAATGATGCAAAATTTTTGAATAATATAATTATTGAGAATATTATGGAATTTGATACTATATGAACTCAAATTTCACAAAATGAGAAATTATAATGACAAAAAAGAATTGCTTGATGATTTTTATTATTTAGATATTTTTTCTTATTTTTAATTTACTATTTGATCAGATAGTGCACACGTTTGAGCACATCATCCGAAAAGAAAATATCTAAACATGGCACATTCATTTTTGCTGTAGGTAATTTGAAACAAGTATACAGTAATATTATCCACTCTGCACAATGATTAGATATTGTTAATGCTTGTGATAGAAAAAAAAACAGTCATGTTGATATGACTTTACAGACAGTGTTACTCTTTATTTTTATATAGAAAGTAATTTTTCTTTATAGATAATTTTAAAAGACTAAACAGAAAAATATTTCCAATAAACATTTACATACTTACATAGCATGCATTTAACAATTAAAATATAGCAAAAAAACGATAGTTGTTACATATAAGAACAACGACATGATTTTCTACATCAAGTATTTCAATTTCCAGAAAGAGTATCTCACACGAGTCTATTCTTTAGTTGGCTGTAGGGAAGATGAATATAAAAATAATTGCATTTACTGGAAGTCATTTCATTCAAATTCATCGTACTCTCAAGAGTCAATGATATAATATCTATCTAAAAATAGGAAATTTGAGTAATTACGTAGACTGCTAGACAAAATATATAAAGAATAATTTCAAATTAATTTTATCTCATTTATATTTCAATCCAGGGATATCATAGCAAGTTTTTTTTGTTTCTATGAAAGATGCGTCAAGTTGTTTTTTTTTCTAGAAATTTTTCTTGTACAGTCTTTCAATTATATAAAATAAATCTCTTTTTTTTTTTGTATTTAGAACATTTCTCATGATGAAGAGATACTATAGTATTTATTAATCGAATATTCTCAAAAAAACAAAATTAATCAATTAAATTTTGTCATTTCGAACAATTGTTTTACTATGAGAATCGTATGTTTTAACAAAAATTTCATAAATGAATAAAATTTGGAAAATTTTCTTGAATTGTAATGATTTAAATGAATTATTTTTTCAAAAATCGTTTAGACACTAACTATTAGTGTTCGTATGATCTTCTTGATCGATACAAGTAGATTTCTTTATCTCGAACATTCAGATTTTGTACAATCAACCAACATTTTAGATTCCTTTTTGGTCTTTTTTTTTTCGATGATTAAAATAATTTCTAAATATTATAAAGCTGACAATGTTTAATGAATAAAGTTTTTACAAGAGATTATGTGCTATATTTAACGAGTAAAATTACCTCTTTCTAATGCTGCTATAATAAAATACAAGAAAAAAAAAATTAATAATAAAGTCAATGTCAAAAAACTCATGCTTCACTCATTAATTGCCTAATTAAAAACTTATAAAAAAAGCTAAAAGATCTCAACTATAGTAGAATAACATGAGATGAAAAAAACAAAATAGCAATCACATATTTTTTTTTTGAATGATCATATTTCTATATTTAAACAAAAGAAAAATTATAAAAATATTTTCATTATGATTTTATAATCTATGATGAAAATCAGTACTTGAAATACGATATTATGATCAAAGAAAAAAAAACAATTTCTACTATTTAAGTATCAAATATTTAATAAATTCAGCATGAATGAAAAGACCTTGGCAATAGTATATATTGTTTCTTTCACATTCTAATATTTATTAATGAAAAAAAGCAGAGATGCATAATTAATTTTAAGGATATTATAAAACAAAATCCTTCTAAAATTTTCTTACTTAAAATTTAACTTATAATTATATTACATATTAAATACAATATAAGTATTCAAATCAAGTATCAAGTAATATTTTATTGATAGAATAATTGTACACATTATGAACCTAGTTTCCTTTCATGATCGATGTCACTATGACAATGTCTATAAGTATTATTTATTTAACTACACGAGCGAAAAAAAGCTCTATTTTCCACAAGACGGCATATCTTGTTATTAAACACTTTATTCATCATGAAAGAAACATACATTCGTATTCCTTTATCGTGCATAAATAAATTGTATGTGTGATTTATTTCTAGTAATATCAAAATAAAACTGAATAACAATCTAGTACTGATGCTAACATAAATAAATAAACTTATTAATTATTTTTATTTTTAAGTTATTTTTGTATACTAGTGAATATCAAATTTTACATATATAAAATAAAAATGCTTTCATCTGAATACAATTAAAATAGATAATATTTTTCATATACTATTCTAAGAATGCATTGACTATAAAATTGACATTTAAAACAAAAAAACAAAGAATATGAACAGAACACATTAGAAATTTTCTCAAATATAGTACATTATTGATGACTAGTCTAAAAGTCATATTTTCTGCTTGTCGACCTTTTTGTTAATGAGAATTGCTTCTTTGTTTTTTTTTTTCAAAATAGTTGTCTCATTCTTAAACAGCTAAATGTTACAATTTTCTTTCTGTGACATCGTCTAGTTATTAACTTCTTTGGATAATACATAATGATGGATATTAATAATAATTTATGACGATACGCCCATTGAATCTACACGTACTTAACAACAAATGCATGCATATACTATGAAAGAGAATTATTTATTATAGAATTTACATGCGACCATATTCATATATACAATGAATTTATTTTTATAAGTATATATTGAAAGAAATGTTCAAATTTTTAAAATAATTTATAGAAAAATTTTCAACAATTTGTTCATGTGAAGTTGCTATTTACTATAAAAGTAATTAAATTTTGAGAAAAAAAAAAAAAAAGAAGACCGGAATATAAATAAATATCTCATTTTTTTTTTTTTTTATTCTTTCTTTTTCTATTAAATGTTGATGATGACAAAGTTTTCTCGTTCGATTCATATACTATTATGATGTACGCTTCATCAGTAAATGAACATTCATAAAAAGAACGGCCTCAAGTGCTCTTCTTGTCTCTTTTTTATTCTTTGAGTTTTGCATGATCTATATATATACATTTGTACTCCAATCTTTCATAACTTTTTATCAGCTGCGTGCATTTTTTGTAGAAAGCATCAAGTAGTGAACAGAATATTGATCATGAACTCTCGTTTTACCTTCTTCCTTTCATACGACTACTTATATTAAAAATTATATTGTCTTGCGCAGTTGATATATTATACTAACATACTTCTTTTCTTCTCATCGTGTAATATATATGAATTTGAATAAGAACAATCAGCATACTATTTGCGTTTTATTTTATCATAGATAATCAATGAATATGAATACAACACACGATTCAAGTCGTGATCTTCGACGTACTCGATTAATACTTCTTTCTACACTTTTTTTTGTTGGTGTAACTGGTTGTTCATTAGTTTTCATATGGTTAATACGTTATACTCGATGGAACACACGATCAGCTCGAATATGTTCCCTTATTCTTAATTTAATTATTGCCAATTTATCTGTTTATATATTTGCTACTGGTATACAAATATATTGGGAATTACAAACTAATCGACAATGGCCGTTTAATGATCTACTTTGTATGTTATAAAATATATATATATATTGAAAAATAAAAAATAATTTTTATTTTTCTAGGTCGAATTGCAAAATTTTTTCAAAGTTTTTCAATTCTCTCTTCAACATATATTGTTGTTGCAATGGCTATTGATCGTTGTATTGCTATTGTTACTCCACTGAAAGCTGGAAAAATTCGTGTAAGTCTTATTAAATAAATAAAATAATAAATATTGAGTTCAAATTCTTTTCATAGGTACTCTATTTATGTGGTAGTGCATGGAGTCTAGCAGGTCTATTATCAACACCGAATATATTTATATTTCATTTACATGTTAATGATACACTTCGTTATTGTACAGCAGTTTTTAATCATCACTCATCTCCTACAGGACGTCGTATTTATTTAACATTTATTTCACTTGTTGTATATTTCATACCATTTCTTGTTCTTGTTCTTTCTTATGCACTAATTTTTATCAAATTATTATGTCGTGAACATGATCAACGAGACTGGTTTATTAATAGTTCATCATCATCATCATCAACTTATCGTTGTTGTTCAAAATTATTTAATAATAAAAAAATAACATTTCCAAAAAAACTGAATTATAAAACATATATGAATTCATTATCAAATTATTCATTATCTAATGATTTACATATACAACAAAAACGAGTAAATACATATGCAAAAGCTCGATCAAAAACATTTCGTATGGTAAGTTTAGAAAAACAGTAAATTTAAAAGAAGTTTTTTTTTTCTTTTTGTCTAGATTATTGTACTTGTTCTATTTATGGTTTTATTTGGTGCACCATACTATTGTTTAGAATTATACATTGCTTATACTGGTCGCATACCATCAGATTTAGTATTAGCTTTAGCTGGTGGTGCAGCTGTAGCACCATCATCGATAGATCCATGGGTATTTCTTTTATTTTGGGTTAACTGGAGTGAACCTGTCAATGTTAGTAACAGACGACAACTAATTAATTCAAACATACAACAACAACAACAACAACAACAATACGTTCAGTTAAGACGAATCAATCGATTAAATACATCAGTCTCATCATCAGCTAGTGAATCACATCAACGTCATATTCTTCTAACCAATTCATCGCATCTATCACCTTACTATTCTAAATGGGATACACAAGTGTAACATAACAATTAGAACCATCATGACATTGACATGTATATAAGTCATTTTATATTACAATCAATTAAATATACATGTATATTTTAAACTATATTTTCAAAGAAAATCTTAAAAATACAGGCTGTTGTGAAATTCATGACCGCTTCATAAATACATATAAGATCATTATTGATCAATCTTAATCAAAAGTTTTTTTCTATTTCAAAATAGAAGACTAGTAAGTTTTCGATGTCTACTAGAATTTCTATCAGTATTATGAGCTTCAAATCATGCAGCTCTTTGATTACTGATTTTGAATGATTTATTCGATGTTTTAAAAAGACCAAATTATTGATGATTTTCTTCACACCAAGTCGTTTGTAGTTTTTCGGAAACTTAAATAATATTAGAAAAGAATATGTTGAAGCATTTTAACAGATGAATCGAATGTTTTAAAACAAAATATTTGTTTATTTTTGCTTCTCTTGAAAGTATTTTCACAAAATCAATAGCTTACGAGTTAGAACGCGTGTCCGACGTGATCAAGTTTTCTTGCCATGACTATTCATTCTAGTTTTTATCGCAAGTCACAATCTCTTTCGTTGAACGATGTTTATTGTCATGAAAGTTTGATAAAGGCAATAATAAATAAAAATGACAAGATTATTAATCAACAAGAAGAAAACTCTTTCTTCTGTAACATTTATGTTTAGTTGTTTTGATTTAAAAAAGAAACAAGAATAAATTATTGTAATAAGCTAAGTAAATAAAATTATTTGTGTTATAGAAAAACTAATGTAGTTATCACAGACACAGGATATGTGATTATTTTAGTATCCGTGATTGTCTGTAACCAAGTTTCAGTCAAGAGCACTAGCTTACATCAGTATATATGGACTTAGAAACTCTAAGATTTTATTTTGGAAAATACCAAAAAAAAATATTCGAATCAATCGTTTTGTCGAGTAAATACTTCTTTACAAATGTACTAAGCTGTAGCTTTTACCTAAATGAAACTATATGTACTTTGTTAAAAGCTTCTTTCCTGACAACACGTCTTTTGGTAAAAAAACGTCTATTTTTCAAAAATGAGGGCTCAAGAGAAACAAAGATTGAAATGATCTGTAAAAAAAAATCCGGTGGTACATACCGGAGTGTAGCTTCTGCTGAATAAGCTGATGTATTGATAGAAATGTCAACGTTTACTTTTCAGTTTCAATGATGAAAGAACAAAAATGTTTAGAAAATTTTTTTTGTGGATCTCTCAAACGAATCATCTTACTAGAATTACTTTCAAGGTGGAGAAAAATAAATAAACATTTTGTTTCAAATAGAGTTACGATAAACGATTCAAATAATCTGAAGTCTATCATTTCTGATAGCAATTTCAACAGATATCAAAAAAGAAAAAAAAAGGTTTTAATCTATGTTAATTAGTAACGATGTTATATGTGTTTATTAAGTGATTATCACTGTTGGATTACATCCGGGATATATATAAGACTATGAATGAAAGACAAAAACAACACTACAATAAAAGAAAAAAAGTTAATTAATCGAAAGAAAGAAACGTAAAAGATCTTATTTGACTAGTTTTCCTATAATAGCATCTTTAACAAAAAACACTGGAGCAGGAAAATCAATATATTGATATTCAACTTTTGAATAGACATTTTTCATAGCATCGAAGTAATTTGTTATTGGTTTAAATCGACAACCATCACCAATAATAGCCCATATTGGTTCAATCGTTTTTTGAAATCCATAAATAAATGGTTTAGTTTTAGAATCAGCAACAATATGTTCAAAGAAAATAAAATTTCCACCTGGTTTCAATATTCGATGTACTTCAAGAAGAATTTTTTCTGGTAATGGATCTGGTACACTACATAATACTAATGTCATAATAACTGTATCAATACTATTCGATTCAACTTCATGCATATCTGTTGCTGAATTATTCAAAAGATCAACTTCATATGGAATGTCCCATTGTTTAATAAAATTGTAAAAATATGGATGCATATGAATATTAGGTTCAATACCTATATATGATTTAATCCTTGTATTATTATGTAAACATGGAAAGTTTATTCCTGTACCAGCACCAATTTCTAATACATGACCTTTAACATTAGAATGTGTTAACAATTGATTACATCGCAGATTCATCATAGCAGTATCATTAGTATCTGACATTTTATTCAAAAAACTAGCAAAGACTAATAAAAAAAAAACATAATAATATGAAAAAATATCTAGAATAAGAATTAATCATATATTTGAACATACATTTTTGTCGATAAACATTATCAAGTTTTAAATATCCAATACCAATTGCAATCAATGCTATTATAAAAGATAAAGTACCAAAAAGAAATCTAAGAATGCGACCCATATCTATAATAGAAGAAAAATAATTTTATCATATATATATTATCGAAAAATGTATATAAAAAGAATAAGAATAGTATAATAGTATAGATATTCTATATGTCTGTACAAAGATATTTGAGAATATTATTCTTTTTTTTACCTATATCTTACATTCAACTACTAATCCGATGTACAAATACCTGGAAATAGACAAATAAATGTCCTCAAATCATTTCTACCAATCACAAGAACTAGCCCTTTTTCGTTCTTATCTCTATATTTCGTAAAATATAATGTTTTTGTAAGTATAAAAGTGAATAAACATGATGACTCATTTTCAAACGTGCACCATAAACGTGATAAGAATCAATGTCTAATTTATCTGTAGATGCAAACAATATGTACAAAAATAAATGATAGAAAACTATTGCTTGATTCAAAATAAAAGACCAGTTGTAATTTTCCCTGAACTGTTAATAGGAACAAGGTAGACACCTGTAGTTTTTTTTATCATTGAAGAGAGAAAGAAGATTCGGAGCCATAGATGTATATACAGATTTGATTGATAAGGAATTGACCAATCAGATGAAATTTTGGTGAAAATTTTCGAAAAAAAAAAGTTTTGAAGCTATTTTCCTCTCAATTCAGACTGTTAACAGAACAAATCAATGGAAAAAATTTATCTCTTTCAATTTACACAAGACCGACACTCCTAGTTTTTTCTGTTCGAAATTTATAAGGCTTTTTCTGAGTCTTTCGATTTCACTCAATTGACATATGATCACCCGGAATAACGGGTAGTCAGCGCTAATTTATCATGCTGAGTCGAACGGTAACATTTATTTAGTAGGTTCAAAATTCAACAATCAGCCTTTATATATATAACAAAGCAGTCGACATTTCGAACTTAAAAGCAAATATCATCAGTCGACTCGCATCATCACGTATTATCCCTATCTAGCTTAATACCCGGCAGTTCCGAAAAATTCTCGGAACTCAAACCGCGGTTCCAGTCAGTAAAACTGAAAAAAATACGGTTCCAATTTCGGTTCCTAGAAAATTGGAACCGGAATCGTCGACCTAATATTGAACAGCGAGCAACTAATATTAGGTTTTTGTGGAAGTGTTCACATATATATTTTTTGAAAGTGATTTCTTCAAAATATACGTGGGGAAAAATGAGAAAAGTCACTGTAGTATGAAATATTTATATGGAACTGTTTATTCTATAAATGGACTCTAAAATAAATTGATAACATCATTTTCTATCTTTTCCATGATTACCATTGCAGAAAACAAAAAAATGCACATAATGAATTCTCACATATTAGCGATATTAGCAAACAAAATCTCAAAAAATCGTAGGAAAATAAAAAATGAATACTGATTCCATGTAGAAATATATGCGAATAAGTTGCTGGTTTAGTATTTTCCAGTACAATCAACCTCCTATATAGTGAATAAGTCAAAAATTGGTTTGTTCAGAAATCTCAGAAGAATGACAAAACATAGATGACACAAATGGTCATTGAAAATTTTCGGTTTCAATTTTTTGGTAACCACTAAATTCTAGTCTAGCTACTTTTTTCCGTTGATCACAGATCAATAGGCCGAAATCAATGATCTCAGGATAAATCTTATAACTCTCGAAAGGAACAAGGCAGGAAAGTCGGTCTTGCATAGGTTGAAAGAAAAGAAATTTTCCTATCTGCTCATTCTATTTACAGTCTTAATAGAAAGAAAACCAGCTTCAAAATATCATTTTTGTTGCACATTTTCATTAAAAACTCGCCTGATTCGTTAATTGTTGACTAATCAAATGTCGATACACCTCTTTCATGAAGCTTTTTCTCTTGAATAATGATAGTTGTAGGTCTTTATAATCTTTCTATCAAGAGTTATTCAAAAAATGAAAAATTGTCTTTTATGTTACATTAGGGCACGGATTAATGTTGATACTATGTAATTTTGTCTCTATCTATGAACATTCAAATACTAATCGTTGATACAAAATAAATGTTGATATCAATATTTTTCGAATATTTCATTCAATTCTCTATCATATCCTAGGCTATATCTTAGAAGAATTCTTTAGTGCTTTCGAAAAACCGGGTTTTCCATTTTTTATGAGAAAAATGCGAAAAGATTTGAAGCCAAAACGTGTTAGTTGTGTCTTAGACTCCTATAAATCCAGATATGAGGGTCAAAAGTAACAACGATTGATTTTAATCTCAGAAAGATATTTCCAAGTATCTGTGGTAAATATGTCAGCACGATTAAAACATATTAGAGGGAGGTCATACCCAACTAGCATTGAGAAATCTGATGTTTTGTGTTACGCTAAATAAAAGAAAAGAATTTCAATATAATTAATATTTTAAAAACATGTTTATCATAAAAGATCTTCACAACAAAACTTTGTAAGTCACACTATCTTAGTTGACCATAATATTATAAACTAACATATATTTGATAATAATAATAAATTTTGAAGTAATAAATACTGTACATGTGATAATGCAATACTTTCATTTTAATCTTGATGAATAATTCATGATATGCATTAACAATAAGATGATTGACATTTTAGATTCATTTATACATAACTGTTTTCTTTACAAAAATTTATCAGACTCGAAGAAGAAAAC